ATTATAGATGATTTTATAGCTTAAAAATACCTAGAAAAACAGGCATTCTTACAGTGAGCGGGTCGCTTTTCCACAGATCTGACCTGTAACTTGATCTGGATCTTATTTGGTTTCCATGAAGATACAGTGAAACATTCCAGACAAAGCAATAACATCTCCATGGAGAATAGCATTTGACAAACCCTCCACCAAAAAAGTGACACATTGCACCTTAACAAATCACAATACAAAGAAATCAACACATTAAAAAATCATCTTAAAGTAATAATAATAAATAAACAAAGACATGAAATGAGAGAGAAGAGAGCAGTGAGAACAAACAGTTTTGGTGGATTCATAAAACTTCAGTTAACTACACATTTTCCACATATTTGAGTGAAGAGAAGTTAAGCAGTGAGTCATAGAAGAATGTGCCAAACAAACACATTTTTACAATTACTTTAAAGGTGCATTGTGTAACTTTTCTGGTAAAGGGTCTGTCAAATGCTTTTCTCCAAGGAGATGTTACTGCTTTGTCTGGAATGTTTCACAGCATTACATTAAACCATCCATCCATCCATTTTCTTCCGCTTATCTAAGGTCGGGTCGCGGGGCCAACAGTCTGAGGAGGGCCTCCCAGACTTCCCTCTCCACACACACGTCCTCCAGCTCTTCCAGGGGGATCCCGAGACGTTCCCATGCCAGCCTAGAGACATAGTCCCTCCAGCATGTCCTGGGTCTTCCCCAGGGCCTCCTCCTGGTGGGATGTGCCCGGAACACCTCCTGAGGGAGGCGTCCAGGAGGCATCCGAAACAGATGCCCGAGCCACCTCAACTGGCTCCTCTCAACGTGGAGGAGCAGCGGCTCTACTCCGAACTCCTCCCGTGTGACTGAGCTCCTCACCCTATCTCTAAGGGAGCGCCCAGCCACCCTGCGGAGGAAACTCATTTCGACCGCTTGTATCCGCAATCTTGTCCTTTCGGTCATTACCCAAAGCTCATGACCATAGGTGAGGGTAGGAACGTAGACTGACCGGTAAATCGAGAGCTGTGCATTTCGACTCAGCTCCCTCTTCACCACAACAGTCCGATACAGTGACCGTATCACTGCCGATGCTGCACCGATCCGCCTGTCAATCTCACGCTCCATCCTCCCCTCACTCGTGAACAAGACCCCGAGATACTTGAACTCCTCCACTTGAGGTAAGGACTCTCCACCCACCCGGAGAGGGCAAGCCCCCTCTTTCCAGTCGAGAACCATGGCCTCGGATTTGGAGGAGCTGATCTTCATCCCAGCCGCTTCACACTCGGCTGTAAACAGCCCCAGTGCATGTTGAAGGTCCTGGTTCGATGAAGCCATCAGGACAACATCATCTGCGAACAGCAGAGATGAGATCCTGTGGTCCCCAAACCGGACCCCGTCCGGCCCCTGACTGCGCCTAGAAATTCTGTCCATAAATACAATGAACAGAACTGGTGACAAAGGGCAGCCCTGGCGGAGTCCAACATGCACTGGGAACAGGTCTGACTTACTGCCGGCAATGTGAACACAGCTCCTGCTCCGGTCATACGGGGACTGGACAGCCCTTAGCAAAGGGCCCCGGACCCCATACATTAAACCAGTCCTTCTCCAATAGTGGGTGCAATACCGTACTAGAATAAAGTGTAATTGCACATCCACTGCAGTAGTTGGCAGTGGCGCTCTCATTGTCAGAGTGTGCGCAGAGAGTATTAGCGCTATTTGTTGTTGTTTTTTTGCAGCGAGCAAAGGCACACACAGCTCAGAGCAGGAAATATGAAGTGCAGAGAACAAACTGTAAGTGAAGTGTATGTAGTGCTCGGCTTCACTGTGACTACGGTGGGAAACGAGGAAAGACCGCTGTGTTTACTGTGTCTAAAAATGTTGACAACGGACAGCATGAACCCAAATAAATTATTGTGTCACTTAAAGACATTACACCCCAATCACGCGTATAGGCCACTTGAGTTTTTACAGCAAAAACGTGCCAGATATTGCCAACATTCATCCTGCTTTGTGAATGCTGCTTCAGTAAACCAGTGAGCTCTGTCGTATCAAATAGCAGAGGAGCTGATACTGCCTGCAGCGGACATCATGTTCAAAGACGACACACAGGAGCAGACTGCCTCATGACCAGTGTTGGTAGTAATGTGTTATAAAAGTAATAAATTATTATAATGCATTGCTTTTTGCTGTAATGCGGCATTACAGGGGAAAAAATTTTAATATTTTACTCTGTACAAATGTCAGTAATGTGTGTCACAATGTTTTTTTAACCCGGACTGAAGTGGTGGGTTTTTCTTCATACAAATTTGCTAAAATCTCCGCGATATCAGCAGCGGTGAAAGGCCATCATTACGGTTCTGAGTGTTGGGACGGGCCTGGAGGTGCACCCATGTAAACCGTCAGGTAACCATGGGCGAAAGGACCGCCGTGCTCCACGGGACTAATCACAGTTGACGCCCGATCGCGCTCTGCGACACCCTGCTCAACGTGCTCAGGGTCCTCTCAGCGGAGGTCTATATTCCAAGTCCAAGTCCATGATTAGTCCTGGTTTAGACCTGGTTTAGACCTGATTTAGACCTGGTTCAGTCCTGGTTCAGCTCTGGTTTAGTCCTAGCTTCACATGCTGCGTGTGTCCCGGGAGTCGCTTTGGAGACGCGACTAAAACGTTTGCTCTCGAATGTAGGCGACTGAAGGCGAAGTTGCGATTTGTCCACATTTTGTAGTGGTTCTGTGGAATGGGGAGGCGTAAAATGTTTTCTTCTTTCTATCTTTGAGAAGCACTTCATGGAGACCAAACCAGACCAAGTTACAGGTCAGATCTCTGGAGAGGCGATCCGTTCTTGGTCAGAATGCCTGTTTTTCTAGATATTGTTGAGCTACAAACCCACCAGTAATTGAATAAATGTTAAGAAGATGTCAAAATTCAACTCAAAAGCTTAGCTGAGAAGTAAGTTTGCTTAGTGTAAACATGGGCCGAAGTCGTATAATAGCAAATGTAGCCCTGTGTTTGAATGTTTGAGTTGGCAGTGTCTCAGTCATTGTACTTTCCTTTATAACACAAATGTTTGCTGTTTGGGGTTGACCATAGGGATATCACTGTCTGTAATCGATGGGATTATGATAACCACTAAGTATTTAAAACTAGACAAATGTTTCAGAAAATACTACAGAAATGTTGAGTTTTACCACAACGTTGAGTTTTTTGTGAAGCTCAGATACAATGTTGAGGTCACGCTTTGTTATAAAAATAAAAGCAAATACTGAGAATTTCTGGGAATTCACATTTTTGTTATAAAGTCTTAAAGGTGCATTGTGTAACTTTTCTGGTGTAGGGTTCGTCAAATGCTTTTCCTCCGTGGAGATGTTATTGCTTTGTCTGAACCTTTCTATCTTCTTGGAGACCAAACCAGACGAAGTTACGGGTCAGATCTGTGGAGAGGCGACCCTGTTCACTATGAGAATGCCTGTTTTTGTAGGTATTTCTGAGCTATAAAACCACATGTAACTGAATAAATCTAAGGTAGAGCTGTTTAATGTCATACTATGGAACATTTCAGGCAGAGCAATGACATTTCCATAGAAACACAAACACAACGGACCTCCATTGTCTGCGTACTTTGGTGTATGAGTGTGTTTGTGAATGAGTGAGTGGTTTCTTGATGTAAAGCTTTGAGTTCCTTGAAGGTCAAAAAACTCTACACTACCTGTCAAAAGTTTTAGAACACCACACTTTTTTTTGTTACTGTTTATTGTGTCATTGCGAACTGAAATGAAACCATAAAACAAAAAAGCAATCAGAGTTGAAAAATAAATCATGGAAGCAATGTATAAACCAAGACGTATTCTAAACTTTTGATTCATGAAAGTGTCCACCTTTGGCAGATATAACAGCTGAACGCACTCGTGGCTCGTTCTTTTTTACAATAGAAATCAAATATTCTTCAGAAAGTTCTTCCCAAGTCTGTTCCAGAAGTTCCCATAAATGTGTGGCACTTGTAGGTTCCTTGGCTTTCACTCTTCTGTCCAGTTCATCCCAAATCAGCTTGATGGGGTTTAAGTTTGGAGATGTTTTCAAGCTTATCATCTTGTTGTTTTTCCTGTGGTAGATGCGTAATACCTCCTCTTTAACCCTACGGACTTGCCTTAAAAGAGACATATTATACTTTTTGGGTCTTTAGTACTAAATTATAACATCAGCAGATCATTACTTCACATTTTGTTCATTTTTAACTGCAATATTAATCTAAAATGGCTTATTAATGAAACAGTTTGACATTTGACTTCATGTTGAACTTTAGAGCTGGTGAGTCTAGCCTCTTCTCAGTGTTATTTTAACAAGCAGCAGATTTTCATTACGTTACATTATGTTCTTACTGTTGAAAAAAGGCTGTGTAATTGTAATGCATTTTTAACCCTTAATATTTAACCTGGAGTCTGAATGTTCTTAACTAATCATAACTAAGTACTGTGCAGTGAGCGGAGATAAGGGGCAGGTGAAAACAGAAAACAGAATGTATTCTAAACTTTTGATTCATGAAAGTGTCCACCTTTGGAAGATATAACAGCTGAACACACTCGTGGCTCGTTCTTTTTACAATAGAAATCAAATATTCTTCAGAAAGTTCTTCCCAAGTCTGTTGCAGAAGTTCCCGTAAATATGTGGCACTCGATGGGGTTTAAGTCTGGACACTGTGCTGGACACTCCATGTTTTCAAGTTTACCATTTTGTTATTTTTTCCTGGGGTAGTTTTGGCAGAGCTTGGGCTTGTGTTTTGTTCTTTTATCTTATTTTTTTAACCTCTGTCTGTTCAGTTCTTACCTTTGTACCATTTCAAGCTCTTCATTGGACTTGCACGACTTGAATCACAATAAATAACTGGAAAAATTTGGGTGTTCTAAAACTTATGACCGTTAGTGTATATAGAAATGTGATGATTTAACATTTACCATGATAAAGGCTGTATTGTAATTATAGTATTGTATCCTGTGTGTTTCAGGATGTCTGTGAAGCTGAAGTTTGACTCCCCCGCAGACGGAGGGCTCATCTCCAGGACTCGCTCCTTCACTGGACTCAGCTCTCTGTCCGGGCGCAGGCGGTCAGTAAAACATATTTGAACATTTTTGTTTGACTATTTTAGCTTTTTTTCAAACTAGAAAAACTTTAATTGATCCACAAGGGAAATTATTTGGACACAGTAGCTCACACATCAATATAATAAAATAACAGAGCAAAAATATAAATGTAATAATAAATTCTAAATAAGAAGCAAAAATAGCTGGAGACTGGTGTCAAATAAGGCATAATTATCACAAGGGTTATTTATTACATAAGGGTGAGTTATTGTACAGTTGCTCCTCTGTGTTTTTAAAGTCCTTTCTTTTCTATTTTGACTCAAGCCGTTACTGTTTTAAGCTTAGTTCAAACTCTCTACAGTGCGATGGCAGCTTGAGTTTTGTACGTAGAAATGATTTCAGCTACATGCATATATTTTACACACAACATGAAAGTCCAGTTCAACAGTAAAATAGTTTAAATAGTTAAAAAGTTTAAATAATGCACCATTTTAGATCTTTAAGGTACTAAATAAAACAAAAAACGCGCATCAAAGTTCTTTTACAGATGCAAAGGCATAGAACAGCAATTTAAGGGCCTGTTTACATGAGAACGCTTGCGGGTAAAAGCGACAAAATATTTTATCGGAAGTGCCTTTTGTTTAGACGGTGACAGTGTTTTTGGGGCTTAAATCTGCAAAAATCTGAAACTACCCTCCAGAGTGGAAATGTTGAATACGCTCCACTGTAGCGTTTCCTTCAACACTGACCAAGACGCAAAACTCTGGTCAGATCTGCTCAGGTTGTGTACACGTTTACATCACATACATCACCACCTCGTGTCATCACCTAACCACCTGGCATTCATACCCAATCGAGTTCACACACTTTTGCGTCACCGTATGTACGCAGATTTCCTCCCAAAAACACCTGTCTAAATGCGGAATAAAAAGTGAAGATGCGAAACCACTTTTGCATCTTCTGTTCAGACCGTCATCATAGCCAAAAAGTGAAAAAAAAAAAGTCCATAGCACACTCAAATGGCCAATGTCCAAATCATTTTTTCTTGTATACTGGGGTTAAAAGCAAAAAAAAAAAAAAAATCTGACAAAGGTTTTTTTCCCAAACCGTAATTAAAAAAAAAGCTTTTGGATCTTTAAGGTGCACCATGCAACTAATGTCTGTCTGTGAAACATTTAAGGCAAAGCATTGACATCTCTATGAAAACTAGCTGGTTTCCATAGAACCCCTCACCGCAAAAGTTACACACTGCACCTTTAAATAAGATCAGTCATGGATATTTTAGTCCAGTGTTCTTCTTTTCTTCCCAAACTTTTCCAAACTTCTGGGGACTCATATTTTAAGTCACAAACCTTCGCGTCCCAAGTCAATAGACATTATTCGTAATTCACAAAATAAAGGTGGATTTGACCATTACTGAACATTATCAATGAGGATATTTTATTGTTGACTGACTGATCGTGTCTCTCTGAACAGTTAGTATTACTCAAGTTTTAAACAATGAAAAACATTAATTGAACTAGAACTACAATAAAAAGATCAGTAAATCGCCTATTTGGATGTTAAATGTAGCCCATTTCTTTTTCTTTTCAACATTCAATTGAACCAACAATATTGGAACAAAATAGTCAATAAAATAACTACAAAAAGATTAGAAATTATACAAAATTTGTCTTAACATTAAACATTTCTAGGAGATAGGTGGGCCTGTCTGCGTTTTTGTAGTGCTTTCCAGTCCAGGTTGCAGGAGGAGAGCGCAGCAGCAGATCAGGAGCAGCATTCAGTCTGTTTCTGTGTTTTGTCTTCATCTTTGGAAGCACAGAAAATCTCATGTTTCAGAACTGTACACTGCAGACCTACACGCAGATCATGACGAGGCAACCCCCCCAAAAAATCTCTCATGACCCGCCTGAGGATTGCGACTGAGTCTTTGGGAAACAATGTTTTAGATGATTTTATGATTAAGTCTGGAGAGAGTCTTTGCACAAACTTGTCGTCTGGACCCACAGAGCAGGGGGAGGTTCAAAACACAAGAGGAATGCACTTCCTGTTGGACACACACACACACATACACACATACACACACATACGCACACATGTTGGGTTTCCATATGTGTTGAGGACATTACATTGACTTGCATTCACTTCCTGGTGACTAACACTAACCTTAAAGATGGAAATGCAGACTTTTTCTACCAAGTTGTAGTGTTGTTCCCTCATCAAAAACACGCCTGAAGAGTCAATTTTCCATAATATAGAAGCTTTAAGTTCTAAATAACAGTGTGGACTAAATGCAACTACAGAGTGTTTGGTTTTAAATGATGTGATTATGTTGAATTCATAAAATGGACATGCAATGAACATTTATGAAATCATCTTAAATAAATACAACAGACGTAAATGATCTCCAGGACTTTATTTACATTATCATTAGAAAACAAAACATGAAATTACAGTGGATTTTAGGAATTCAGAATCAAGGCAAATGCAATCCATAAAATATATAGTTGTATTTATCATTTTAATAAAACTTAAAGGGCCCATATTACACTGTTTTCTGATCTGTTATAATGTTCTTTTCTCATCGCAAACACACCTGGAGTTGTGTTTTGTTTCATTCACACAAGTTTAAGACACAAATCCTGTATATTTAGGCTCAGGTCTTCTCTAAACTGACAACTAAACACTGTGTTCCACCTTGGTTGTACAGGAAGTGCTCCAATGTGTTTTTAAAGTCCGTACACCTTCACTAGAATCATTTGGATAATTTCACTTCATGACATCACAATGTGGAAAAGAGCATTATGAGCTTTGGAAATGTAGACAGACTAATTATAAAGTCAACTCCAGGTATGTTTTTGATGAGATAACAGCATTATAACATGGCTTAAAGCTCACAAGAATCAAGTTTGTGTAATATAGGACCTTTAAACCATGCTGTTGATCTAATATAAAACCATTTATGTCATTGGGGATTTGATTTTAGTCCTTTTAAATGAGACAGGGTCCTGTAATGTGAGAGTGTATACAGATTTGAGTTCCCACATTATAACAAATACACGCTCACACACATAGACCAGTCTGCTTTGGGCTGTGGCTTCTGTCAATGGGACCTTGTCATGAAAAGCAGCTCTTTCTCCCGCTGTGGACCCTCACACAGGACCACCATCTGCCTCTGTGATGGAGATCTGAGGTTTGGGCTGACATGATTTGGACATGAAGTTAACTTGAGAAGACAAGCAAAATGTCACACCACAAAACCACGTTATTGTCTGTAATTATAGACGAGTTGTTATAAATCTGAGAGGAGCGTGCAGGCAGTGGGGCTCCTAAATTATCCCGTATTACGCAAGATCGACTCAAGTGAGCTTTAAGACATGTCGTAATGCTGGTATCTCCTCAGAAAGCATACTCCTAGTTGTGTTTTGTTTCATTAACATGTGTTTGAGTAATCCTTTATTATCAGTCTGTCTGTATCTCCAAAGCTCAAAATGTTCTGTTCCAACTTGCGATGCCATGAAGTGGTAGTTTTCAAGTTAGCAGCTCCCTTTTCTGTTTTGTTCAGTAAAGATCGGCAATTCCACAGCAGAAATCTTCCATAATGATTTTAGTAAAGGTGTATGGAGTTTAAAAACACAATTGAGCACTTCCTGTATTACAACATGACATCATAAGGTGGAAAAAGAGTGTTTTCAGTTTGAGAAAAGATCTGAATATGCAGGGTTTGTGTGTTAAACATGTGAATGAATCAAAACACAACTCCAGGTATGTTTGTGATGAGGAAACAACATTATAATAGATTAGAAAATAGCGTAATATGAACCCTTCAAGAATAGGCCTTTTTCGCAAATGCCGGAAGTGCCGCAATGTAGGGCAAACGTTACTAATGTTAATGTTTTTCTATGGCAAAATATCTGCGGAAATGTCTCGTGTATTTTCCACCAGCTTCATAAATCTGCCCCATCACCAAATCTTCATCCAACAAGGTCGACAAAGGACAAATTCTGTCCATGAAGAATTTATCCACAACTATCAAGGTAAGAAAGATGAAAACGTCAAGGCGAACAATGACGATGCATTAGTGAACTGCTGAACAAAACTAACATTATGATCATGAATAAAACATAAGTAACTTGTTCACTTACACTGATTCTACAGCTAAAATTAAAAATCGGTTTCATGATGTAGATTTTGGCATAGACAGAGAGATTTGTGCAGTTTAAATGCTCGACATGTAATCTGTGAACATCTGTAGCATTCAAACTGCACAAATCTCTCTGTCTATGCCAAAATCTACATCATGAAATCGATTTTTAATTTTAATTGTAGAATGAGTCTGAGTTAACAAGTTACTTTTGTTTTATTCATGACCAAGACGTTAGTTTTGCTCAGGAGTAGTTCACTAATGTGTCGTCGTTGTTCGCCTTTAAGTTTTCGTCTTTCTTACCTTGATAGTTGTGGATAAATTCTTCATGGACAGAATTTGTCCTTTGTCGACCTTGTTGGAGGAAGATTTGGTGATGGGGCAGATTTATGAAGCTGGTGGAAAATACACGAGACATTTCCACAGATATTTTGCCATAGAAAAGCATGAACTGGAAGTGATGTTTACCCTACATCGCACTTCACTTCCAGTCATTGCGAAAAAGATGTATTAAGACAATCATCTTCTAAATTATTACATTTTATTGAAGCTAGGGAAAAAACAAAAAATTTAAAGGTAAAAAAAGAACTAAATCGTAATGATCTTTGGGGATGCAAGTGTTTTAACTTGGACACACGCGAGTTTGTCTCATTCTCAGTACATGGACAGCAAAGTTAGAAAGAAAAGTTAAAATGATGATTCTTTAGCTTTGTGATTACAGTTTTTTCTATTATTTTGATGATTCTTATTTTGATTTCTATTATTATTTTGTGAACCTCTTAATTTCAAGCTAAAAGTGCTGAAAAAACTAGGAATTCCAACTTCCAACTCTTAAAAAATGGTTCAAATGAAAGAGAAAATGAAAGGTTCAGGTTAAGTTTTAGCATCCCCATAGGGAAATCTGTCCTCTGCTTCTGCCCCATCCCTCAGACTAAAACTAATATTAGTGGAGTTATAGACGGCACTCCATCACCACTGGCCTTTTTACAACGCTTTCAGACCAGCTCCAGACTGTGGCATAAATCTGTTATTTGACTTGGCTGTTGTCCCTCACTGCAAAAGCGCTGAATGTAAACACGACCACAGACACGTACTAACTTACATACACTGGAATTTAAAGTGGAACTAAAGACTAAAACTGCCTTTTTCACCACTGAAACGTGTATATGGTGTTTTAATAGCAATGTCTACTTTTCCTAGTTATTATTATTTGCAATTTTAATGCAAACTAGTTACTAGTTACTAGTTTTCCACACTATTAGTCGCTCTGGATTATAAGAAGCACTGTCATTAAATGGTCTATTTTTGAACTTTTTTCACAAATAAACCGCACCGAACTTTAAACGAAACACAACAGTTGGATGGCTCAGTCAGACTCTGGTGCGTTCACGGTGACTCTGGGCTTTGTTCAGTTGTGGCGTGTAGGGAGGGTGCTGTCTGGGACCACTGGATTGTCGGCGTGATCGCAGTGACTCAGTTGTTCAGTTGTGTCTAGAAGTGGCACATTGCACTCGCTTTTTCGGTTCGTTCCTCTGTTCCATTCTTCGTCCGCGTGGAGTGATGAGCGTGGCTATGGGTGTTTTTCTCTGCGCGGTCGCTGTCTGCTTCGTGTGTGTTTGCGTGCGCTGCAGGTGGTGCGGCTTTGTAGTTTACTGAAGTCGTGCTGGGACAACCTAGTGGATTTGTGTAGAGGGCGCTCTGGATCTGCGGACCTGAGAGCACGAGAGGGGGTGTGAGATACGAGCAGGTCAGACAGATACTGAGAGGTCATACCATGGAAGCATTTAAAAGCAAATAAAAGAATTTTAAAATCAATGCGAAGGTGTACGGGGAGCCAGAGGAGAGACTGAAGGATATGGTCAAATTAACGTGATCCAGTTAAAAAGCGAGTGGCTGCGTTCTGGACTAGCTGTAGGTCGGAGTGCCTCCAGTGTAAAGTGAGTTACAATAATCAGATAAAATCGGTTTCACTTTGGCCAGTTACCTCAGTTGATAAAAGCTGGTCTTCACCACAGAGTTCATTTGGGCATTAAGTTTAAAACCACAGTCCATTTTCACACCTTACTTTGTCACTACTGGACTCACAATCTGGGCTAAGGACCGAACTCTGTAGGAAAAGCCACAGCGGCATCATCGGAAGAGAACAACACTACACCTCCTTTTTTTTTCTCCCTGAAGTGCAGGAAGTTGGAAGCCGTTCATGCCTTGACTTCATCTAAGCACTCCAGAGTAGAAGAAAAGCACTTTATAAATAAAATGCACTGTTATTATTTAATGTTATGTAATGATTTATGAGAAGGTGGTACATTAAACACAATTGCTTACTCACGATTTTGCCTTTTCGCTGTCTGTAGGAGCTCTTCTGTTCGAAACTCCCTTCGCTCCAAATCTGGATCTGGAACTACATCGCCCAGAACGCACCTGTCCCCAACTCGAGGGGGCGGAGTCATGTGGTCCACGCAGCCGGAGCAGGTGGACAGGGTTTTCCTGGCGCTACGCAAAGGCCTCAAGTATGTTAACAACACTTTGCAAATGAGAAATGCTATCCTAATTTGACTTTATTTGAGCTTTTAGCATAGAGGCTCAAAACTATACTAGTACTTTCTATCAGATATTGCTTTTAGAACAGAAAAACAAAAATAGCTTGGTGTCAGCTCTCTTTGGAAGCAACTGAAACCAAAAAACTGGATCTTTTCATAACTTTCGTTCTTATCTTTAAACATAAAAGGCTCATATTACATGATTTTCTGATCTATGTTTTGATCCTCTTCAAAAACATACCAGTAATACCTTGTTCCACCTTGTGATGTTGTGTGCTAATACTGGAAGGGCTCCACTGTGTTTTTAAACTCCATACACCTTCACTGGAATCAGCTGGATGATTTCAGACCTGGAATTGCCAATCTTTACTGGACAAAAGGTAAAAGGTATCGCTAACTTGACACAAGGTGGAACAGAGCATTCTGAGCTTTGTAGACAGACTAATAGTAAAGGGTTACTCAGACAAGTGTAAAGTTAACAAAACACAACTCCGGGTATGTTTTTAAGAGTTAACAACATTGTAACATGGATAAAAACACAATTTTGCCTCAATTTTGCATAATACAGGACCTTTACAGTGAATTAAACACTAAATTAAACTGTGTATATGATGTTTTAATAGCATTCTCTACTGTTCCAGGTTATTTTTGGCAACTTTTGTGCAAACTAGATACATTTACTCCTGTGCTGTCTTCAGTGACCTTTGCAGTTTAAAGTAGTTGGTGACATCACACAAAACTGCCCTGTTTACAGCCAGGTGTTTCTGATACAAATATGTGGCTGCGGGGGCGGAGTTTAAAGTGTGGATACCTGTTTGACCAATCACGCTGTTTCTTATACGTCCAAACCCTGCCCTTCTTCTTCTTCTTCTTCTTCTTCACTCTCCCCTTTAGTTTAGTTCAAGTTTAGGTGTTTAGTCCCAGTTTAACTTCATACAACTTCACTGGATTAATTCTGATTTTATTAATAACAGACATGCTACTAATTTATTATTTTCAAAAAGTTTCACTCTCCACTGTTGCCACCAGAGGGCACAACATCAACAACAACAACAACAAAAAGTGTTACAAAAGAACATATATTTTGACATCGATATCATAACTTATAGAAAGGTAAAGATTAATTCAAAGAAGTAATTTTTTGCTTTAAATGCTCTATTTCATTTGTGTAGGGAGTATCTGGAAGGGCATCAGATTGAAATGGACTTCTTGACAGCTCAACAGAGGGAGACCAAGAGGAACTCCAGGCTGGTGAGGATTTGGAACGATCGAGTTTGAAATTGAGTCGCTGTATTTGTGGTAATTTGATGTTAATGAGTTTTTCTTTGTTGACAGGCCTTTTTGTATGATCTGGAAAAGGTAGATTATTTGTTATTTTTCGGACAATATTACATTTTCAGATAATATTGTTGAGAAAAAAAAAAAAACAATATTGATCTGTATCTTTTATTTATGCACAGGAGATCAGAGCGCTGGAAAGATACATCCGAAGACTAGAGTTTCAAATTAGCAAGGTACTGTTTTCATAATTTAAAGGTATTCTCTGTGTACATTTTCTGTTGGAGGGTCAGCCACCTGCTTGTCTCCATGGAGATGTTATTGCTTTGCCTGGAATGTCCCAAAATATAGCATTATTTCCATTAAATCATGTTACATTGGTTATAGGTTAGAGACGCGACCCAGCTCACAGAAATGTTACAAAGTGAATCTTAAAATACAAATGCATAAAAATACAATGTCGAAGATTCAAGTACGTCTAATTTACATGCACTTTTTGCGGTGTACACTTTCTTTTACAACTACATTACTTGATAACCCAGTAGTTTTTTGTGTTTTGTTCAAACCTGATGCATCTACTGTAGTTTTTGAACAGTGTTTTTGACGTGCAGGTGGAGGAGCTGTATGAGACGTACTGTATCCAATGGAGGTTGTGTCAGGGGGCGGTGAACATGCGCAGGGCCTTCTCACTCTCCCCCTCCACCCGGGCGTCCAGAGAGAGCCTGATGGAGCTGAGCCGCAACCACAGACTCAGCCTACAGGTAACAGATATATGTAGGACTGTAGGGCTATAGGGCTGTAGTATAGGTGAGTTTCAGCTGATGTCATTGTTATTAAAAGCCCGCGTTGCATGCTGGGAAATATTTTGGTCGGCAAGAAACACGATAGCGGTCAAACACAGTGCGTAACCTCGCGTATTTATCCCCGATAATGGTAAATTCCTGCCGCATTATCGGATGCACAAATAGAAGCACGGAAGAAGGAAAATGTCTTTTTCGTATTCCAGGTGAAAAGAACCGCTAACGGTGAATTAAACGGCTTTCAAACAGTCACAGAGCAAACGTAGAAGATCCTAGCACAAATCCGTGGACTCCAACAAGTTCAACAACGCATCGAGACTCTTGTAGACTTTCATCTTTTCTGCTGTGAATGGCCCAGGAGTTTCCACCAAGTCATTGTGGATATCGCCGAAGTGAATATTTGGCCAGGTAGTTGGTGATTCAGACCAGAAATTTGGTTTGGTCCAGGCTTTGTAGGGGTTGAAAAGGGTGATTTGTCGTCCATCGATGCTTATGACCAATTTCTGGTCAAATCGTCTTGGGTCCTCTGCCGTTAGAGTGGATAAATAACCGGGATCAATACCCTTTACGTGCTTTCTCGCTCCATCTGTCATGTTGAATTAGTGTTTATTCCCGCCGACCAAAATAATTCCCAGCATGCAACGCGCGCTTTTGTCAACTATAGGCCTGTATTTATATTGTGTATTTATGTATTTATAAGTAGAGTAGAGATTTACATTCTTATACAATGGAACATATAACATAAGTGAAATCATAATAGAAATGAAAAGTAGAGCTATAGTATCGAGCTGGCTGTAGGGCTGTAGGACTGTAGTCTAGGGCTATATGGCTATAAGGTTGTAGGGGTTAGTTGATCCACATCTGCTCCCATTAAAAAAAACAAAAAAACAACAATGACTGGAAAATTATATTATATAAAATCATATAAAAAAAAAAAAAAGAATATTTAAAAAGTAAAAAAATAAGTGTCTGAGTTTGGTAAACACAAAAAAGGAAATAATAATTTGATGCCTAATATGTGTTTCTTTTGGTAAAAATTCTAATTGTTCTCTGGGGTTGCATATTTATTTAAAAAAAAAATACATATTGGGTTTTTTTTTTTCTGTATGAAAACACATTTCAACTTTCAGACTTTAATAGTTTATCTCAAGACCAAAATACTATGCTATACCAAAATACAAAACTGTGTCACACTTATGTATTTAATACGCTAAACACTTAGAAACCCTCCTAAAATGTATGTAGAGTGTTATTATTTTGTTCAGGTTTGACATTGTTTCAACATAAGCAATGACTAAAGCAAAAAGTAACTCAATTTAGTCTCCCCTATACAAGTATACTCAATATGCTAGTTGATTTGAATTCGGGATGGTCTGATCTGGACTTTCTTCAGTCAAAAAACACACACAAAAAAAAATCTTACATGATGTTTTTATGATGATTGAAAATACAGCCCTCTCTTTATTGCAGTTGCTGTTTTATTTTTTTTCCACCCATCCTTATTCCACTTATCCGTAATTCCAATAATAGCACATCTTTGTTGTCACTTGAGTTTTGAATGTTAAATAAACCGAGCACAGATTTACCAGATGCTCCATGGGGAAATGCACATTGACATGATCCCATAACTTTGAAGAGTATTTTATATTTCAGTTTTATCTGCTGTCAGGACTTCTAAGAACATCTTGATCTCGTTTAAACTAAAGGGGATTATAGATCTTAGACAATACATTTAACTGCACTTTGTCTTTTCCAGATTGAGCGCAGTTGAAATATGGTGCTAGTTATTACCAGTAGTGGAATGTAACAAAATAAAAGTAGTAAAAAGTACTGTACTTAAAGGTGCACACTTCCACAGCTGACATTAAACAACTCTACCTTACATTTATTACATTACAAGTGGATTTTATAGCTCAAAAATACATAGATCTAACTTGTAACTTGGCCTGGTTTAGTCTGCATGAAGATAGAAAGGTTTAAAGCCATACTGTGAAACATTCCAGACATAGCAATCTCCACAGAGAAAAGCATTTGACAGACCCTCCACTGGAAAAGTTACTCAGTGCATCTTTAAAGGGCCCATATTACACTCTTTTCTAATCTATGTCATAACGTTTCCTTCATTACAAACCTGGAGTTGTGTTTTGCTTCATTTTCACATGTTTAACACACAAACCCTGCATATTTAGGTTGGTTTCTTCTCTCAAACCGAAAATACTCTGTTCCACCTTGTGATGTCATGTGGTGATACAGGAAGTGCTCCACTGTGTTTTTAAACTCCACTCACCTTCACGAGAATCATATGAATCATTACAGCCCTAGAGTTGCCAATCTCTTCTGAATTTAAAAGGTAAAATGTAACTGTTAACTTGAAAACTACCACTTGACATCACAAGGTTGAACAGAGTATTTTGGAGATGTAGAGGGATTAATAATAAAATATTATTCAAACATCTGCAAATGAAACAAAACACAGCTCCAGGTATGTTTTTGATGACACAAGAACATTATAACATGACTTAAAGCTTACAAGAGTCAGTTTTGCACAATATAAGACCTTTAAGTAACAAAATTGAGTACCATATTTTTCAGACTATATGTCGCCCGGGAGTATAAGTTGCAAAAAAAAAAAAAAAAAACGTAATGAAGAAGAAAAAAACATATATAAGTCGCACTTTTGGGGGAAATTTAAGAACAACAGACTGTTAACATCACATATGAACAGTTCTTCAGATAAATATAGCATAAACAACAGAATAGAACAAGTTTACCAAACTCTCCATCTCACTCCAAATCACTAAATCCACTGAATTCTTCATCCTCGGTGTCACTTCTGAGCAACTCCGCGACCTCCGGAGGTAAACAGAGCGCCGCTTCCTCTTCTGTGTAGCTGTTGTCAGACTCAGCATCAGTTCCAGTTTGAATTATTTCGGCTTGTCTGAATCCCGACAGGATGGTTTCGGTTGTCACTGAAGTCCAGGCTTTGTTGATCCATCCAATAACTTTCCTGGAAGCTATTGGATGGATTATTATTGGTTATTGTGTTCTTCATCTCTGCGTTCAACCAGTCCCTCAAGTTTCTCGCTCACTCCAAACTTTCTTTCTGCTCCTCAATTACTGTTTTCGGGCTGAATATTTCAGTAATTGCAGCAGGACAGCAGCTCTTTCTGCAGGAGACATGCACAGTAGAGTGAAGTGACAGTGGTACAGGAGTAAGAGGAGCAGCAGATACTGACACACAATCCTAAAACCACTTGAGTCTGTCAGTGTGAAAATTTTAATATATAAGTTGCACCGGAGTATACATCGCAGGGCCACCCAAACCATGAAAAAATGTGCAACTTATAGTCCGAAAAAATACGGGACTTCTTCCATTGCTGGTTACAACTGTGTTCTGTAGCATGTGTTAGGCAGGCAGAGGTCAGAGTGAACCGGAGTGACCCAAAGCCATAGACGCATTACAAAGACATGTGGTGTGAATGAAGCGAGCTCCCCTGGGCCCATGTGTTCTACAGCACAATCACAACACAAGGACTGTCCACATGTGAGTGTCATCTGGGTCTGAATCGCTCCAAACAGGAAGAGACAGCACAAAAGATGAAAAATATCTCCTCTCAAGCATCTGCAGACCAAACAAAAGCGCAGTTAGCATGTTTACACAGCAGAAAACAAGCGTTAGTTAGTAGGTGCATTGTGAAATTTTCTGGTGGAGGGTCCGTCAAATGCTTTACTCCGAGGAGGTGTTGATTTGTCTGGAATGTTTGTGTGGCTTTAAAGCTTTCTGTCATCAAGGAGAGCAAACGAGGCTAAGTTACAGGTCAGGTCTGTGGAGAGGCGACCTCGCTCACAGTCAGAATGCCTGTTTTTGTAGGTATTTTTGAGCTTTAAAGGCACCTGTAATTGAATAAATGTAAAGTAGAGCTGTTTAATGTCACACTGTGGAACATTTGGAGCAGAGCAATGACATATCCATAGAAACAAGAAGGTGACAGACCCCAACCAAAAAGTGACATAGTGTATGTAGAAAGTTGGTGGAAAGCTTCAAACATAAAACATCAAAACATCTTTATTCTTTTAGGTAAACATGTTAAGATCACATATTGCATTTACTGCATTTAGCCCAATTTTATTTCTAATTACAAAAGACATTGTGCAAAAGGCAAAGTTGTTGATGTTGTCATTTGGTGTTTTGGTTCTCAAAACAATTCTAATTCCAGTGAAAAAACACAATGGGCCTCACATGTGTCTCTCATTTGGGCTGCAAGTTTCAATGCTGTAATCCAGTGTGTTTAAACCTAAAATGCCTCGCTCTGATCTGAACAGTCACTGCCTAAACCCCAGCACTTGCAGAGAGTCATGAGTCAGTGCTCGTGCAGCATCTACAGCTCGGTGAGGGAATTCTGGAGGTTCTGAGCTTTCACATGAAGTCTGTCCATACGCTGAGAATGAGAAAAAAGTAAATGTTCTCTATATGCAGGTTAAAAACGTAAGAGTGCAAGTTAAAATGTCTTACATTCATGAATCTTCAGTACATCTGATTAGAATGATATGCACCTATGTTATTTAAATAGAAGATGTTACTGACTTTTTAAAACACATTTCTACAGCAATAGTCTTTGTGAAGCCAAATATCTAATGTGCAGTTTTCCCACATGGAGATGTTGATTTGCCTCTAACACAGTAGCCTATGGCAGTAATTTATCTATCTCGTATATATATTCAATTACTGGTGCTTTTATTGTGTACAAATACCTTTAGTGCATGCATTAATAAGCATAAATAAGATATATTACCAAACTGGGTAACATTCAGATAAAGCTATAACATGTCCATGCAGTATTTTAAAACTACATGCACATTTATGTTCTTAGGTTCTTTTTTCAGACCAAGAGTTTGTTTTTATACCTGACTTTTTCGACTGCTCACTAGCGCTCTTCCTCAGAGTGGTCTCGTGATGTTGC